ATCTCAAAAAAAAAAAAAAAAAAAAAAAGAGAAAAATATATGTGTGCCTCTGTGTGTGTGTGTGTGTGTACTTAAGTAGATAGGTAGATATATAGATGATAGGTAGATAATTAGGTAGGTAAATATAGAGATATATAAATATATCATGCAGGTGTTCTTATAGTGGGTCACTTATCGCTAAAATGATAGACACGTGGAGACTGAGAGCAAAGAGAACATACGTAGTCACTGATCCAGAGAACGTGCAAGGCTGTGAGGTACCAAGAAAAGCCTTCCCATCTTTCTGCCAAGCTATTTCCATTATTCTCGTGTTCCTGTTTTCACTTGACTATAACTCAATGCATTTTAAGCTTCTCCAAAATTCCCATTATCTTCCATCCTTCTACTTGTGCATATCCTGCTTCAGAGTGCAAGGGTTGGAAAACATCCCGTGACTTATGGTCTGATAAAGAAAGCCGATGAAATATATTTACAAGTGAATGAACAGAAGAAAACATATATAAATTAGCTCTCTGTAAGCTTCACAGGAAAGAAAAATTCCTGCTCCAAAATCCAGTGTGTAATCTGGGTGGTTCTGTGATGTTTTCACTGTAGATCATGGGAGTGTAAGGTAAGAAAGAACACGTCTCTTTTGAAAGGATTGATATGGATGTGTTCAAGTGTATTAAATGGACAATACATACCAATGTCTGGTCTTACCATGCAGTCTTTCTGTGGTAATATTTCCCTGCTCAGGTTTACAGAGGGACTCATCAAAATTGAGCTTCTTTTGTAGCTTGTGTATTTAGATGACTAAGGCGGGGAGTGGTTTCAGAAATCCCCTGTGGGTTGACCTGGTATTTTCAAAATTATTTGATGACACTGAATTTTGAGAGGCATGGGTTATTTTAGTCAATGAGAAAGAAAAATGAAGGAGATATAAATAATGCAATCACACTAAAAGAAATGTTATAAGAATGAATTGCTTATAACAACCAGTTCCAGGAATGAGAAACCCTGTCTCGAAAAAACAAAAAAAAAAAAAAGGTTAGATTCTGTTGGTGTTAACAACTGCCAACTGGAAATGATTTTTATAGAACTTTTGGAGACAGCTAGGGAGATACCCTATGTTCGTCACAGAACCCACAAATCCCACCTCCAATATTCCCCATAAAGTGCATAGAGAAGTGTCAAAATGTATTTTTATGGTTTAAGAAGCTGTCTCAGTTTGCCTACCACGTCTATATTTGAGACTCTTGGTAGTGGTGAGTATTTTAAGTAGGTGCCATGGTTTCAGAAACTTAAAATTTAAAACCTGATTCACACATAATTTAAGACAGAAAAACTAGCAAATATAAACCAACAAAACACCATCATGGCTTTCGTCTGTAACTGGGTGAAAAGAATGCTCACATAGTATGCATCAAGTCCTGGATTTCAACCTCAGACTCATATGTACAGGGAGTAATGGCACATTTCTATAATCCCAGCTAATCCAAGCAGTTGGAAGGTAGAAACAAGAAGATCAAAAGTTTCATGTCAACCTTAGCTACATAGTGATTTCAATTTCATAATTTAATTCAAAATTTTGTTGAAAGATGCTGAAGGCAGAACTGAGAAACCTCCATCCTCCATCCTGCAATTAAGCCAGAATAGGATATTCCTTGCCTCTTGCTTATGCATTTTGACACACTGGATAATGAACAGTCTCTGGGCTTTCTGCCATCGGTTTCTTTTTTCTTTTCTTTGTGGGGTGGAGGGTCTTTGTAGCTCCGTAGACCAGGCTGGCCTTGAACTCAGAGATCCACTTGTCTCTGCCTCGTTAGTGCTGGGATTTAAGGCTAGCACCAACTATCGTCAAGCTTGACTCCTGTTTCTTTAGAGACCTTATTTTCCAAAATTTGTCATATTCTCAAAGCCAGTGGGGGGGGAAAACCCTATTTTTCTATTCGATAAGCCTTTTTTTTTTTTTTTTAACCTAACCAGGCTCCGTCTAGTCTTCCTCCCTCCCCTAGTCCAAGGGCTCAGGACAATTTTGAATCTTTTAACAAAGCCTTTACCAGTTTCTAGAGATTACTCTGGAAGTCTTGGGAGTGCAGTTGTCAATATGGTCCTTCTCAGCAAAGCTAAGTGGTCACTGATATGTTTAACTCCTGAGAGTTCCAGCCACGATCAATATGCAACCCTGAATGTAAAAAAGATTTCGGAGGGTTCAATTGGCTGAACTCTTAACATTACACTATGAACCTAAACTCTTTAAACACTAAAAACGCTCTCAAAGCAAGCACTTAGCGGCTGTTTACGTAAACTCACAATAGAACAGAAACTGGAAAAATATGGTAAACACACTAATCTCAATATTTTCCTAAAGTAAGCTTGTACACTAAATTTGGGGAAAATACCCAACTTCTTTGCTTTAGATTAAAGGGAATTAAAGCACAAAGAAACCAATTACAACTCTTGTTTTGATAGAGTGGGTGGCTCTGAAAAGAGCCTTTGGGTTAAGAGTGAGGTCGGAGCGCTCACTTGGAGCTGGTGTACTTGGTGACGGCCTTGGTGCCCTCGGACACGGCGTGCTTGGCCAGCTCCCCGGGCAGCAGCAGGCGCACGGCCGTCTGGATCTCCCGGGACGTGATGGTCGAGCGCTTGTTGTAATGCGCCAGGCGCGACGCCTCGCCCGCGATGCGCTCGAAGATGTCGTTGACGAACGAGTTCATGATGCCCATGGCCTTGGAAGAGATGCCGGTGTCGGGGTGGACCTGCTTCAGCACCTTGTACACGTACACCGAGTAGCTCTCCTTGCGGCTGCGCTTGCGCTTCTTGCCATCCTTCTTTTGAGCTTTTGTGATGGCTTTCTTGGATCCTTTCTTAGGAGCTGGAGCGGACTTGGAAGGTTCAGGCATCTTTACAGACCTAATAGGATATCCTAGAATGGGAAAAAAAAAACAAGAATCAGGTCAGGATGGTTTTATTTATAGTCTTGAAATTCAAATGAAGCCGTAAAAGTACTCACCTCTGATTGGATAAAAATAAAGATTTTTTTTAAAAAGGACGGCTTTATGCAAATGAAGGATCCAAATCCTTATATTTTATTGGACAAAAAAGGTTAACTTGACCAATAGGACTGCTCTCTCTTATTACCTGGCATAATCTATAAGACCATTTCCTTAAGTTAAAGTCTTGATTTTTCACTGTTCACGTATGTTCTATAATGAATTCTTGAGATAAGCAGGGCTGCGAGCCTTGTTCCAAGGCCAACACCCGTTCTTCCCGGCTGATCTGCATTTCTCTGTGTGCCTCGTGCGCGGGCTCCTCCGCAGGGGCAACGACTCGGAACGCTTGGACGCCGGCGCCCCCGTGTAACTGGCGACCGTCCGTGCTGGAGTACCTGACGGCCAAGATCCTGGAGGTGGCTGGCAACGCGGACCGCGACAACGAGAATAAGCGCATCATCACGCAGGGCAAAGTTCTGCCCTGCTGCTGCCCAAGAGGATCCAGGGCCACCACAAGGTCAAGGGAAAATAGAACCAACACCAAAAGTCAGGAGTTAGCAGCAACATATGTAAAGACTCACTTGAGAGCTATGCACTTTTCACAAAACAAAGTGATTTATAGGGTACCGTTAATACATGATTGTAGAAAAGGCATGTTGCACTCCAAAGTAAAACCTCAAGTCTACAATTTATTACAAAACAAAGTATTACATTATTTGTCTGAAATTTGGAGGTTGGTAAGGCTATGTACTAACACTCCACACTAAGGCTGTTGGACACTTGTTTCTTTTAAGAGCAATATAAATTTTGAGTACTG